TCACCTGTTAACTCACAGGTAGGTATCGTAAATGCCCTGTTTGACTCTATAGTATTTGAAATATGTCTTCTTTTCTGCTTATATTGATCGTTTATCCCCAAATATTAGCCAAAATACCGAAATGTCCCTTTCAGGGTACAGTCACGCCGGTTTAGGGCCTACGTTACCCTGATGGTATTTCGCGTTTTATTTATAGAACCTCGGAATTAGATTAGAAACCGTGATAGAACCACGCACCAAAATATCAACTAAATTGTATGTACCCTGGCAATTATATACCTGTTGCTGCTAAACAAAATTAAAAAGAAAGTCATGAAAAATATCCCGCTTGCGTCCCAATATAAGCACACACAAATGACCGTGCCTCGTTATTGCCTCGCATCACTTCACGCGATTTCCTGCAGTAAATCAAATCCAATTAAAACAACCCTTTCCCGACCCTAGCTTACCTTATTGTTCTCCACAGAGCAACCCTCGGAATAAGACAATATCGCTATAATTGGATAATAGGCAATTTTGATATTAGACGGGAGTCATTGTGTTTCCAGGTGACCTTGTGAAAACTCAGGTGAGTTCAAATACATGACCTTGCATCGGAAATGCATTCAGCCGTGACATCGTAAACGTAGTACACAAGCGGTGTCCGGGGGCTAAATTTACCTGTAACAGTTGCTCTAGAAACAGTTATCGCCAACGGTTTTTTCTATTGTCGACAGTAATTTAAACAAAAGCCCCACATCGACATTTTCGCCAAGAGCAGTTTCAAATCGCCAATCACGTTTTACTTTCGCCAGTGTCGATCGCCAGCGCGAGCCCTGGACTATATGATACCACGGACTTAGATCGAATATAAATCTGTGATGATACACATACATTTTTACCTTATTAGATTTACTTTAATACTTTCAAAAACATGTTTTCTTCCATAACTGGAAATAAAAAGAAACGCGACGGTACACCATACTACCTGTGTTACTTGGAGGATCGGTTATAAATGCCCTTTGGCCACGACATTCACAGGTAACACCTCCGAGGTAATTAGTTCACCTGTTAACTCACAGGTAGGTATCGTAAATGCCCTTTGGCTATAATATAAAGTGGTAAGAACTACAGGTAATTAACATACCTTTTAATTCACAGGTAAGATATTTAGGTGTGTCAACTGTATATTACTATACCTTAGCTAAAAGTTATAGTGTACATTGAATGTAGTTAATGCAGGCACGGAATACGATATCCGTTATTCAGTCTTGGAGGTATAACTTCTCTTTCTAAGGATTGATGTCTTCTTTTTTTGTCTATTGATGACTTAACCCATACAACATATATTGGTTGCTGTCATAACTTACACTGTTTTGCAAATAATATATAAATATGTAAAGGGGGCGTGTCAGAGTGGTTACACATAACAAACATGTATTTCAAAACACCAGGTCGATAAAAATAACAAACACGGCACAGTTTTATAGTTTTAATTTGACATATTAATGGAGTGTATTATTTCAATGACACAGTTCGAGTGTGTTATAAACACGTATTTCAAAACACCAGGTCGAAGTAAATTACAAACGCGGCACAGTATTATTTTGACACATTAATCAAGTGTTTAAAACACGAATTTCAAAACACCAAGTCGGAGTAAATTGCAAACACGGCAGTTTCTATAGTTTAATTTGACATATTAATCGGGAATGTATATAACATGTATTTCAAAACACCAGGCCGATATCAATTACAAACACGGCACAATTCCATTGTTTTATTTGACATATTAATTGAGTGTATTATTTCAACGGCACATTTCGAGTGTGTTATAAACACGTATTTCAAAACACCAGGTCGGAGTTAATTACAAACACGGCACAGTTCGAGTATGTTACAAACACGTAAATTTTAAAACACAAGGTCGAAGTAATTTACAAACACGGCACAGTTCGAGTATGTAACAAACACGTATCTCAAAACACCAGGTCGAAATAAATTATAAACACGGCACAGTTTTATAGTTTTAATTTAACATATTAATGGAGTGTATTATTTCAACGGCACAGTTCGAGTGTGTTATAAACACGTATTTCAAAACACCAGGCCGGAGTAAATTACAAACACGTCAGTTTCTATAGTTTTATTTTGACATAGTAAGTGTATAAAACATCAAACATGTATTTCAAAACACCAGGCCGATATCAATTACAAACACGGCACAATTCCATAGTTTTATTTGACATATTTGTTGAGTGTATTATTTCAACGGCACAGTTCGAGTATGTAACAAACACGTATCTCAAAACACCAGGTCGAAGTAAATTACAAACACGGCACAGTTTTATAGTTTTAATTTGACATATTAATCGAGTGTTTAATAAACACGTATTTTAGATCATCAGGCCGAATAAAGTACAAACACGATAAATGTATTTAAATATATTTTTATTACAAATCGAGTAATAAGCAAACATATTTCAACAGACACGGCCGAAGTATATTACAAACACGGCACAATTCCATAGTTTTATTTGACATATTAATGGAGTGTATACACATGTATTTTAACGGCACAGTTCGATTATGTTACAGACACGTATTTCAAAACACCAGGTCGAAGTAAATTACAAACACGGCTCAATTCCATAGTTTTAAACATGTATTTCAACGGCGCTGTTCGAGTATGTAACAAACACGGCACATTTTCAAAGTTTAATTTGACATAAATCGAGTATGTATCAAACACGTATTCCAAAACACCAGTTTCAAGTTGAAGTAAATTACAAACACGGCACAGTTCCATAGTTTTATTCTGATTACACCAAATAAACATAGGTGAACAAAGCACAGACACGTTGTTAATTATGAGGCGAGCTGTCGACTGACAAGTGTTCACACATGAACAGAGCTACCTGGTGATGCTTGACACCGCCCGCGGCAGCTCGAAGTGGTCGACAGGCTACTACCCGGTTAGATCAAAGGCCTAGCTAACCGCCAGCGCAGATCCTGTTGCCGTGGAGCACAGGTAAATAAAGGGGGTAAAATAAAAAGCCACGAGTAAAATAAAAAGCCACGAGTACTTTAAAAGTCCAATGAGTAAAATAAAACGTCTACGGGTAAAATAATAATCGGGGAGTACTATAACTCGTCAGGGGGGTAAAATAAACCGGATAGGAGTACTTTAACTTGTCAGGGGGGTAAAATAATAATCTAGGAGTACTTTAATTCGTTAGGGGGGTAAAATAAACCGGATAGGAGTACTTTAACTTATCAGGGGGGTAAAATAATAATCTAGGAGTACTTTAACTCGTCAGGGGGGTAAAATAACTTAAATAGGAGTACTTTAACTCGTCATGGGGGTAAAATAATAATCTAGGAGTACTTTAACTTGTCAAGGGGGTAAAATAACCTGGATAGTGGTAAAATAAAACGTATGGGGTAAAATTTTACTCCTTTCCAGGTTATTTTACTCCTAGACGTTTTATTTTACCCCTAAACATTTTATTTTGCTCAATTCTGAGTATTTTACTCCTTTTCCAATCACCAGTGTGTATAGTCCACTGATTAAAAGTTAGCAATTTTACTGACGATTTTGCACTTGTTAACCTTTGACCTAAAGATGTAGGTCACAATGACCTACACATTCTGTGGGGGATGCAGACATTCGTTAAGTGTCATTAAGAATCTTTAAAATCTAATATCACTGAAAATTTTGCATTTTTTGTACTTGACCTATGACCTTATAGTAGTGTACTGCACACTTTGATGCAGGTAGGTATACTTCAAGTTTCTGTAAGACTCGCCCTTATGGCCTCTATTGTGTTGATTTGTCGTTAAGAATTCAATAATAATAATTATACTTTAAGACACATTCAATGGTTTAGAACTAAAGACCAGGCAACATTTCACTTGAAAATTTGCACTTATTTGATATTTCATCCCAAAGGCAAGGTCACATGAGGTCAAGGTCACAGTGACCTAGTAATATGTTACTGCACACATTCTATTTGTAATGCATGCTGCCTTCGAGTTTCATCAAGATATCAGGTACAGTTAAAATGTTATAGACCAGATCTAGACGAGATTATGTTAGAAGAACCAGTACCTCCCTTTGTTTGAGACGCTTATTTGATTAGGAGTCATGAATTACACTACCTTGTAAATTAATTGCGAAATAATAAATGTGCAACTAAAATTTTGAAATCAGTATATTATCCCTTGGCTAAATGTTGTCAAACTTTATACTATAAGGTATTCCATTTATACAATGTACAGGTAGCAGTAATTTGAGGATATTGGTTTATGACTCAGTTTCTTTTTTTTTTATATCTAAATGAAATAAATCATAAATCATTAGTAAATAAAGACACAAAAAGATTGAAATGATATTCAAGAACAGAAAAATCTAATAAGACCAGCTTTGTTAAAAAAAAAAAAACACAAAAAAACAAGAGAAATTACATATAGCCTGAAAAAGAATATGTGCATATTTTAACTTTTAACAGATTCTCACCTACATGAGTATTGAGATAGGAGAAGGACAGCTAACAAAATATAGAATCAACTTAAAGATGGATTCTGGCTGATTTTCTGTATTTTAAGCATTATTATCAGGCATTTGTTACTATGATGCATCAAAGCGGTGACAGAACATACAAGGTGTAGGATATTGCTAAGTAATATCTGCAATCTCATATGCTTCAAAATCCTATCGTGACAGGATGTATTTAAATTGACCAGAAGAATATGGTCTCTCTAATTTGTGTGGTAAAGCCTTAAGGATAATAATTAGTCTACTTTCAAATCAAAGGGTTCTGGGGTTTACCTTGCCGTGAAATCAAAAGTGTGATAAATTATGTAAAGTCGTTTTTTTTATCATATCAGCACTTCTCGTTTCAATTTTCTCTCACTTTGGCAGTTATTGGTAGTAATGATTGACGAAAACCAGCTGGAACCCATCTTTAATCTAGCTAGATGAATGAAAAATGTGATTAGTGATCACATCAAAATGGCACCTTTTCGCTTTCCAAGTTTTTCAATCGTTGTTCTAACTGTGCAATCACAGTCTGTTCTGAGTAGAATTTGTCCTGTAAAATAACACACATGATAAGAAGAATGGATATGTTATTATAAATATTGTTTTTTTCTTCAACCCGCTATCAACTATTACTTTCATGTCTGTAATAAAAACAAATTGATTTATGTTAATACTGTAAAATGATTTTATCATCAGTGTTTGTCAATATGCACAAATGTAGTATGACCAACATATATAGCAGGACACAAGTAGCCTCTTCTGAATGTCCTACACGGATGTACATTTCCAATTGATTTAGAATTTAAATTACTGTAACGCAATTCTGTTAAACTGGCTTTCCTGAAAAAGATATCCAGTGATATTTGCGTTTTCTATTTCCCAAATTGTTATGATTTCATGAATCTGCATTTGTTGGATAAAATCTAGAAATTCAGAATTTTAGTTTGATTCACGCCTTCCCAAGTTCCTGATTGCCTCATGCATACCTATATGTACAAGTGGTGCTGGCATTTACTACATTTTGTAAACATGCACTGATAAAAGAAGTGTCTGTGGTGGTCATTCAAGTGATATGAGTGAAATGATGAACCTATAGCTTCTTCGGGATATGGTACCTACTGTGGACCGGTGCAACCTTAATGGTTAGATACTTTCAGTACAATACAGTAATTTTGCTTCGATCAGAAATTTGTTTTATTTTTAAGCAACCTATGATATCTAATGTAATGCCAAATAATATAGGCTACATGGTTCCTACTGTGGACCGGTGCAACCTTTTAATGGTTAGATACTTTCAGTACAATACAGTAATTTTGTTTCATTTTTAAGCAACCTATGATATCTAATGTAATGCCAAATAATATAGGTTACATGTAAATGAAGATCTATTAAAAATAGCTCTTCAATTTTTTTTCTGCAGTATGAAACTCAAAATATTTTAAGTACAGATTTGTACATGCATGAAGGTATTCTAAACTGCATTTGTTTATAACTATCTATAACAAAGCTAGATCTCCTAGTACCGACCAAGAGATCACTGTGAGTATACAGGACGTACACAGGAATGAAATTTCATGAACCGAGGAGAAATGCCGCAATAAAATATAAATAGTCACTATGGTTAATCATTTCACCCGCATACTCATATATATAAATGTTATTATGTGCCTGTGTCCTTATACCGTATCAATGGTCACTAGACAAGCTGTACAGCTAGCAGACCACATGTGCAGCTACGTATTATGTATGTTTGTGAACCTCATGTAAATATAATGGAAAGAGAAAGTAGAACCTGGTACTGCTGTATCTGCTGTCGCACAAACTGAAAGTTGTTATCATACTGGAAGAGTGTTTGCTGAAAATAATTGTTATAGTAATGTGTGAAAAATATATGCCTTATACAATATGTTCTTTTCATTTGAATTCTTTTTATTGATACATTTCAGATAAACACAAGTTGATCTGCAGCAAGCATCCTGCAAATGAAAATTAGCTGTGATGAAAAACATTATAAATAATTTGACTTCAATATCAAAGCTTAAAGCATTTCAAATAATAGTTAAACAGTTGAGTACATAGACCAACGCCCAAAAAATGAAATTACTTCTGTCTTGATGCCTGAAATAGCAAAATGTACCTAGAAAATGTACCTAGAAAATGAACACAAAATATATGACAACAGTGATTCTTTATCATATATATATATATATATACATGAATGTCTAATGACATAGGACAGTTTAACTCATTCACCGGTGCCCCTCAAAACACATTTGAACTTTTCCAATTCAATGGTTGGAATAGTTCATTATAAAATTTCAGGGGATCATTTTGAGTCTCATACACAAATATAGGATCCTCTCATTGTGACTGCATACAGTTGGATATATTCTAATTATATACAGCATGTCTAAAATTGTTGGTGCTGCACATAAGTTAGCACTTTCAGAGTTGGTGAACACTTTATAAATTATGTTGTGTGTACATTTGTTGCTTAAATCTGATTGCTGCTAAGATATGAAGGTTTACAGCATGTATGTGCCTTCATCAATTAAAATATTTCAAACACTTTGATATTAATACACCTACTATGTTTGATTGTTAAATATTGCTACAATACATTTGAACATGTACATGTATATACAGCCAACATTTTAAAAATTATTTTAACCAGAACACAATTGCGTATATAATTTATGATAAAGATATGCAAGAAAAGAATGATATACTCCAGATATGAGAGCAACACCTTATTTGATATGGCTTCATTATGTAGAGTTTTGGAAGCTAGAAGCTGGATTATTTAAAAAAATACTTATTCTGATGGAATTCTTTTGTATTTTGTGACAAGAAAATCTTTTCAATGAAATTTTTAAATGCCATATACTGTACAGTCATGTATACACTTGCCAATATACAATTCTGACAAAGTTTATTCATTAAGTACCTGATTCAGGTCCATATTGGCCCACACACCCGAGTTCTAGCACTAACATTTCTCAGACAACAATCGGGCTTCATGTGTATTGTAGTAGATTACCATACAACATGTAAACTAGCTCTTAATCGAAGCAGGGGTGTAAACAAATTTCAAAGCACTAGCAACAGGCAAGGAGACCTTAGAAATCCTTTTGCCCAAATAGTTTCTACTTGTCCCATAAAATGCATATCATATAACCCAAACAATTTTGTAAACAACTGTTCATGACATATTCTAGGAGTTTTTTTTTCTTCTAAATAACTGCAAATATTATAATATGGATTATTTACTATTTAATTGCAGTGATTTATTGATTGCTTGATTGATTCATTTACATTTCCTTAACCTATTTTTTATTTTTTATTCCCGAAATCTTGGTCCAGATATCGATCTGTCTGGTAATTAGTCACACCAATGCAACTTCCTGTTTGATAAACCCAAAACGATGTCCCTCGGGTGTTAAATAGTACATATAGTCATTCAATATGTAAGTAAATCTTTAAGTTATCCCTATTGTACAATATAGCTGGAGTTGCAGTTATTTTCATCAGCCTAAAAGTCGTCTGAAAAATCATCTGAATTGATGAAAAGACTGCTAATATTCTATTGACAAATTTTCCCCCAAAAAAAACAAGAATTAAGTTGTTTTTTTCATGAATTTTTGTTTGTTTCATAATTGTTTGAGTGTATTTTACTAAACTAAATACAGCCAGTTAAGTTAATCATTTATTCACATCTAGTTCAGGTAGGAACAGGGAAACCAATGCAAATATATATGTTTAAGAAACTATTCTAGTGAGCAACCTTTTTGCAACTTGTCTGAACACTGAAACTGGTTGTCACTGGTAAGTGGAATATTACACCCCTGCTAAGATGTATGAAGGGAAGGGAATCAATATCAAGGGGAGATAATAAGTATTAAGGTGAGATAATAAGTATTAAGGGACATAAAGCCAGCCTTCACCAGGAATGTCAAATAAAACTTCAAACTATGAACTTTGCAAATTACCATGAACTTTGAAAACTATCACACACATACGTACACTATGATGTATCAGTACTTCTTTAGATCTACATTATATATCATTATCTGTGATGTCATTTTTTCACCGATTGAAATCAGGTACGGTAAGTTAAAGATGTTTATGAGAAACTGAAACACACTTGCAATACATGAAGCAGTTATTATCATGTCATAAAATTATCATAAAATTTTGCTTTTTTATAAAGATTACTTATTTGACATCCGTGAGATAAAAGGATTCAAGAGTGTTTCAAAACAAGTTATGCAAATGAGAGAAAACTTGTTCCAGATCCATGAAAGCAACACTGATCCACACACTGAACCTTTCCATTAGCTAATCCAAGAACAGGTTTACTGGCGTCAGTAACAAAGGTCAAGCACCTACACCAACAACAAGGGAGATAACTAATGTAAAACCTTCATAGCAGCATTCTGCTTCTCTAGGTTCCTTTTCACTGCCCGATCTAAGTTAAGTTGTTGCTAAGGAAAGGCATAAATGATAATGAAAATGTGGGAAATTACATGCATTAATAATTCTAAAAGAAAATAAAATAAAATAAAAGACCTAAGTTATATGGCTCTTATATAATACGTATCTGGTAAATAGCACAATTCATTTTAAAAGACAATCTGAAACTACAATAGGCTTTAGTAGCTATAGGTATGGTATGTAAAGATATGTTTCAAATTTAAATATTGTATGCATCTTTCTAGGATAAACGCATTAACTCAAAATTGTTCCTTAAAATGATGCAAATTAAAGGTCAATTGTGTCCATGGTATGAATCTGGTAAATAGTTCAGAACAAGTAGCTACATGGGTAATAAGAAATTAATGACTGATGACGGACTCAGCGGTATGGCATAAGATCTATTTAGTTCATAGGAAAAAAAATTGCAGGGCAATAAACAATAGACTAGAGGAGGATGGATAGTTACAGGGGAATGAAAGTACATTGGACCATGCACATAGGAGGAAGGAGTTATAGGGGACGATGATATACAAGGGACTCTATCTACAAGAGGTTATAGGCATAATTTCACCGCAGGGATGTATTATGGTAAAGAGTGGCATTTATAGAAAGTCAAGTTTTATAGAAAGGATTACAGGAAGGATAAAGTAACCACTCTTCCCAAGGAAAAAGGAGGTTAAGAAAAAAAAATACTTGATTTAGGACAAGAGGATATATAGGCACCATAGAAGGCAGTGACTCTGTTGTAGTGACTACAATCAAATCCCTTGCTCAATTCATATTCATATATTTGTAAAATGCGCTAAGCTTTAATTAGGATCCGATAACATGAAGCATCTCATAAGAAATTGAAATGACATGTACGTATACTATAGCCAAGGAGTATGACGTCCTTTGAAATTCTGTGTATTTGAAAACACATGTGTTTATCTATATATATGTGATCATCCAGGTTTTGAATAACAGGTCCCTTAAACATGGACCTTAACCCTTTCTCCCCTGTAGACCATAATGGATTCATCCAGACAATGCATGGTAGAGTCTACTGAAGTTACATAGGGGTGAAAGGGTTAATTCACTTTCAGTCAGCTTCAATATTGAAGTACACATATCAATGAGTAATGAAACAAAGGATTTGATTTTAATCAGATTATGAGTTGAGCGTAAGAAAGTCCAAGAGCACAGGGAAAACAAGGAAGAATTAACTAAATCTACACCTTTACTTCTTCAATCTGCATCTCAAGTCCAGTTCTCTCCCTTACACCTGTATCAACTTGTGTCTGTGTGCAGCAATATATGGTCAATTTTTTCTTACACATCACATGTTCTTGCATTTTATTCAGATATTGTTAATGGAAATAATATCTAACATTATCACATATTTGATTGAAATCTTTACATTAGTCTTCAACAGGAAAATATCTTCATATGTGTGCAATTAGTTTTAGTTTTGCCATATCTTTATTTTTCTACATTCATCCGATTTAAACATATCCAAACTATCTGATCTGATTTTTATAATAATTAAAAGACATACATAATAGACCATTTTACTTTAACTGCAGGACATGGGTAAGCAAATCCTCATGTCAACTTGTCTCACATCATAAAAAAGTTATAACACCAAATGTGTATTTGTTACAAAAACATTGGTGTGGAGATCCACATTTTCTATTTTCTCACCAATGTTGCAGCCCAGCAGTTAAAGTAAAAGGGTCAAATATATATAATGATCACTTTTTTAGAGTATCTTGATAGTGTTTGTGCAAGGGTTTGTCTTTGATAATAAAGCACCTGCTCACCAAAGGAAAGGTTAAAACTAAAACTAAACCTTGATCTGCTGAACCTGCCGCTCTAGATTCACTCTCTCTGCCTGCTCTAGGCCCTGCTGTTTCTACTCAGTGTAAGAAAGTAGGAGTGGTGAGAACAGCGAGTGGAAATCAAAGAAATAGCAATCAAGGAATATAGCATATATATATATATATATGTAACAGTTATAGCAGATTGTGTAGTCACATCTGTTCATCAAAGAAAGAAAAATAAATAGAACAACCACCAATAAACAAATTTAAACCTCCAAAAAAACAAAAAAATCAAAAATGTTTTATTTACAGTTCAGCTCATTCTTATTTTAAAGAACTTTTGGGGGGTTTTCCCCAATTGAAAATTGCTTATGCCAGAGTGGAGAACAAGGGTCATAGCCTGCAGTAAGGGACAAGTAATATTTAACTAAACCATCATTTTTTTCTTAGACAACTTAGAGTGCTGCTCACTATATTTTTAAATTGCTTATGCCAGAGTAGAGAACAAGTGTCATAGCCTGCAGTACTGGACAAGTAATATTTAACAAACCTTCATTTTTTTCCTTAGACGACTTAAGAGTGCTGCTCACAAAATTGTTTCTTAATCAGAAATATAGTGAAAGAAAGTACCAAAAAAAGTTTAAAAAGGAAAAACAGCAAATATTTCTAGGAGAAGTAACAGACTAAAGCAGAGTTACTACATCTACACCTCCAATCTAGATCAGTTCACATACGATTTCCACAGGAATGAACGATAAGGTTTTCTCTGTGGTAATCATCACTATAACTGATAATAAAGATTATGTCATACCTGACTGTCCTTGAGTTGACCAACCAACTTGGTTACTTGTTCCGTCAAATCCTCCTTATCTCTGCCCAGATTGGCTAGTTGATCTGTCAAAACAGCCAACAGTATAACATGTTGTCTTAAAAACATAACAATCAAGCACAAAAATGTACTATAAAACTATTTTTGATTTTTCACAAAAATTCATCTGTATTTTTTTATTTGGAAATTATTCACAACCTGTGTACAAAACATTGTAACCAATGCTGCATACAACTGGGTCTATGCTACTAATGCTTTAACTTATTCATACTACCCCAACACAGGAATTAACTTTTTTTAAATTGAGAAGATGACATGATGTGTATTATGTAAAGACAAAATTCAGACTTAACACTTTTTTTTTAATCATAAAAAGACCAGAGAGTATTTACATACAATTTAACTCATTTTCAAACTTCTAGCACAGATCATCACAAGTGCAACCATGAAACACTTAGATGACAACAAAATACTGCATGACCTACAACATGGCTTCCGCACATCAACATCTTGCGAAACACAACTTATAACATTCATACAAGACCTCGCACAGAACCACAACAACAACAAACAAACAGACATTATCATAATGGACTTTGCCAAAGCCTTTGACAAAGTCACACACAAACACCTACAGTACAAACTAAAACATTTCGGCATCACTGGAACCACGTGCACTAACCTGGATCACAGACTTCCTATCATCATAAAGCACTCAAACAGTAGTACTAGAGGGCAAACACTCCGAAAAAATCCCAGTAACATCTGGAGTACCTCAAGGAACCTGTTTGGGACCAGTCCTCTTCCTCATATACATCAACGACTTCCCCGAATACATATCACAAAGTACACTAAGACTTTTTGCAGATGACAGCATACTATATAAAACAATCAACAACAAAGAGGATACAACAAAACTACATTGTACAAACAGATTTAGGTGCAGCTAGTAAATGGGAAGAGGACTGGCTCATGAAATTTCACCCAGACAAATGCACCATACTCACTATATCACCAAAACGCACACAAATTAAACACCAATGCACACACTAGAATCTTTGACTTCAAACAAATATCTAGGCATTACACTTCAAAACAACTTAAAATGGGACAAACACATAAATCGCTGGGCTTTCTGAAACGCAACCTAAAAATAAATTCACCACACATAAAAGAACATGCATATAAGGCCATTGTAAGACAAAAACCTGAATACTTCTCTTCAGTTTTGGACCCTCATTACACAAATAACATAAATCAATTAGAAAAAGTACAACGGAGAACAGCACGATACGTGTCATCCTAAACAAATACCATAACACAAGCTCAGTCACAGATATGATACACAACTTACAATGGCCAACACTACACACACACAGAGTAAGAACACACATTATTCTTCTCTACAAAATAGAACACCAACAAGTAGCAATACACACTAACAATCTCATCCCCGCAGACACCAGAACACCTCAAGGACACGACCCTAGTTACAGACATGTCTACACACCCAAAGACACATACAGACACTCATTCTTCCTATACACCATAACACAGTGGAACCTCCTACCCAAAACAATCATCCAATCAGAAACACTAGCAGAATTCAGGACATGCACCACATACTGTATAACATAATCGAACATATACAAAACCAACAACACAACTAACACTCACTGCTTTTAACCTGTTTTTATCCTATAGCAAATGGAAAAAAACAACTTTACATAACGACGCATTACAGCACAAGACCTTAACAAATCCATAATCGTCAATATTGACGGAGGAAGGATTAATATATGAAGATGAAGAACTATATTTAGAAGCTTGACCTACTTACCCCGTAAACTTGAGATTTCTAATTCTTTTTCCTGTTTAAGCTGCATATACTCCTGGTTTCTCTGATCTTCCTGTAGTTTTGTATCTTCCTTGTCCTTCTCCTTCTCTGACTGTAGTCGGCTGTAATCTGCTTGTAGATCATCATGCTGACTCTGTGGAGAAGGAAAAACAATCAATAATAATTCCAAAATAATTAAGACTGACATACTACAAATCCTTAAGTTATTGCATATAATTATTTCTAAGATTACCCTTTAAACAATACACTCCTGAGCAAATGTGTAATGAAACAATTTGTAGTAAACGAATATACATTGCTTGTGAACTGCTTAATTGTGCTGGAATTTTTCAATTAATGGTCAACTTCTTCTAGAACTAATAATTATAAGTACTGATTGTACTAGAGCTGTCGCCAGGATGGCTGACTAATATCCCTGCTTTTGCCATGTTATGTATATTTGAGAGTTATACTTCAACGTATTTAGCAGGATAAATAATATTTTTGTTAAAGGGTCAAAACCTCCACAAAAATAACTGAATGCAAATATCCCTAGGGGCATAACTCCACCAAAAAGGGTCGAAATCCCAAATTAAAATGCCAAAGCACTACTACATAAGATACCGATCATTCATGCAAAGTTTCAATAAAACCTTTTGGTTAAAGAGGAGTTGCATGGACAAGTATTTCGCACAAAGGGGCATAACTCCATCAACAAGAGTACCGCGGGGTGGAACAATATACGCCCGCCGAATGCCATATAGTGTTATATACTTTCTTACATTGAAATAAGATCTGCATCATAGCTGACATGCTATAAAAATGTAAGAGAAAATCTCCGGATAAAAAAAATCAAATACTGAAATGAACAAAGGGCAATAACTTTCGCAAAAATCGTCAAATCAAAGTTCTTTTCAAGGACACACAACAATATATCATGATTATTTAGCCTACTAAGTTTCAAAAAAATCTGTCAAAAAATGTAGAAGATCTCCAGACAAAAAATCAAATACTGAAATGAACAAAGGGCAATAACTTTTGGAACAAAATTTTACACCGGACGGACTGACGGACAATGCCATACAATAATACTCCCGTCAAATTTGACGGGCGTATAAAAAGGGTCTTAATCCCAAATTAAAATTACTTAAGGAGGAGTTTTCCGTCCGGTGAGACTGACAGACAGTACTCCCCTAACTTCGTTGTGGGGGTATAAAAAGGGACCATTATGAAAAGTTCCCATAACTACCACAAATTATATACAAATGGAAGCTAACCCTTTCACCACTGTAGACCATAATGGACTCATCCATATCAATGCATGGAAGAGTCTACTTAAGTGACATAGGGGTGAAAGGGTTAAAGTAATGTTACCAGCACCATTATACTCCTATGGTACCTACAAAATGTATCAAATTTGAATGAGATCAGTCAGTACCTAAATTTTGGCCAAAATGAGAACAGTTTTTGGAGGCCATTTTGTCAAATCTGAAAACAGAAGCTGCCATATTGATATTGCACTACCATGTAACATACATACAAAACTTTCAAAAAATTTCAACCATTCAGGGGTTGTGGTGGCCATGTTGGATCACTGATCTAAAAACGAAATGACATTTGCACCTTGCCTTCCATTCAAGAATATTCATGTGAAGGTTTGTTAAAATCTGCCCAATAGTTTTTGAGAAAAGTGGTGAAAACTACTGTTTCAACTTACCTTAAGCATTTTATGATGTTGATTCAATGTATTTAAACGGTTAATAAATTCTTTCTGAAAAAAAAGTAAATAAATTACTGCAGTGGTATTGATTACGAAACATTAAAACTACTGTAAACATGGATTTTAGCAAGTTAGTCTTTGGTTGAAAACACAAATATATATCATATATTTCATACACTGAACAGGACTGAATATTTTATCATTAAAAATTCTACTTGTCAATTGATGTTAACAAATCTTTAATTTCGACATATTTGCCCATTAAAACACTCTCGCTATATGCAATCTTATATTTAATGTCAACAAATTTTATGATGTTATTTTAAGAATGAAATGAGTAAGTTATATCCAATGGGTGATTGAACCAATTGGAATTTAAATGGAGAAAATCATGTAAATGTTGTAATAAAGATATTGCCTATATAAAATTAGATTAGTATACCCACTTTTTCATTTTCACTCCTCTGATGCATATCATCTTTAGCTGCTGTTAATTCTGTAAAAACAAGAATAATAGCTGTGATCCAAAATATTTTAAAGCGTTACAATAACATAACATTGAATACAATCAGCCAACTACAGTAGCTTATTACTTCTACATTTTTGTATGTCTCCAGATCATTTTTGACTATATTGATAGTTGCTCTATATAAATAAGGGCTCAAGGAAATATCAAAAATGTTTCTCTGTTTACACAAGTACTATTTCTGGAAAACCCTGCAGTAATACTGGAAAAAATTACCATATGAAAAAGTAGGTTTATCTATATTTACAAAAAGTGAAAAATTTGGCAAAATATTAATGCAAACCCATGTCTAACTCATTCACCCCTAAATTAAGACACATTTGAACTCTTCCAATTTAAAGGTTGGAATAGTTCATTATGAAATATCAGGGGTGAATGAGTTAATTAGCATGATTATCAATCAGGAATTTGTATACCTGAGAACAAAAATGATCAATGTATTCATTATTGTTCACCTTTGATCACTAAGCCATCAAGCAATTTAAGTCCTTATTGACTGTACAAATTTATTTTTGAAAAATCTTTAGTAAAAGTAAATATTTGCCATACAAAGGATGCCTGTTGTAATAAGGGTGCCTCTAGGGAGTTTTCGAAAAGAAAAGAAAAATGAATGAATGCCTATGATGTTATTTAAATTCTAGATTTTTCCGTCTCACATTTTTTTATTTCCAGAAATGAAGTTGTCTGTTTGGTTTTGGTAGTTGCGAGGCAACTTCTACTATCAAAAGGGAGCTGTACTCAAGAATTTTGAACAAAAAATTTTGCGATATGTAACATTATCTGCCAATAAGAGTGACCAATGTAATCTATCAGAAATAAAATGCATTTGATGTACTGCTTTATTACTGGGGAGTTCAATGTAAGAGTAAGATATAGATATTCATTTCTCCCACACTTCACAGGTACATTCCCGTTTTTGGTAGGGAAAAGATAAACCTGTCTTGATCTACCTCGATCAAGACAGCTGACACGCGTTATTACGTCACAGACAACGCACTTCTTTCGACATGACCTGTGACCCTGTGCACTTTTAGCAAAACCGATTACATATCACTTTTTACACACACGTATAATACACGTTAACAAAATATGGCAAGCTCAGCATTCCAACAGTTAACAATAGGCGAATGTGTTACCGTAGGAAAAAATGGTGAAAAGGGAAGAATTGATGATAGAACTGTGCATTGGGGTCAAAAATACAACTTTGCAGTGAAGGCATTGATACGGTCTGAAAATGTGGGAGAAAAATAATCAATCACTCCTGTGTGATGTAGACAGAGATATCTCCACCCTCAGGATGAGATATTTTTTAGGTTTAAATTAGCACTCGGCAAAGCCTTGTGTTAAAGCTAAAAACATATCTCACCCTCTGGTTGAGATATCTCTGTCTACATCACACAGGATTCTTTTAGTCTGTGCCATGGTGGAAACTAGTTAAAACACATGGATCCGGAGTTACATATATTTGTACCTGTACATGGCACCTTTTACATAAAATATAGTACAGGGTCTAGGACTAAGCACATGCTGTACAATGCATGAATAGCTAATTGTAGAATACACGCATGTATGGTTTTCTATATCTGTAAGTTACCTTCCTGGTGTCAGTTGATGTAAATTTAAATGTTAAGTTATTTCACGATAATGTAAGATTTGTAAGTACTGTAAAAGCTTCCTTCAAATAGTGTAAAAGTCACAGCTGGTCAAAGAATAAGCTTTGTGATCAATAGGCTTCCTTGATATTGTCTAAACCACATTTTGTTAACGCCTGGCTAATTTTATTCCGGTTTTGTAGCATTCTGTCCAGTTATAGGATATTTTTGTCATAAGATTTCTCCCAAGTCTGCCCTCAGTGTTTAAGTAAAAAAAAAATTAAGGCAAGCCTTAACCATCATCTTCAAACTTTTAGTATGTCCCATTACTAAACAATACGGTAGGTTCTAAATATCTGGTCGAGTTCTAAAGGAAAAGCATGAAACCAGTACGTAAATATAATGTCCTAAAACATATTGTACAATTAATATGCATTTACATGTACAGTATATGGGAACTACTTTTCCATGCCTTTGTATTTACTGATCCTAGCTCGATCACAGTACCTTGAAGTTGATATATATAATTTACTGATTTTCAGGCCGCAGATATTTGGACTCATGCTTTAAGCTTGCCCACATTTAAGAAACCACTTTATCTCAAAGTAATGATATTCATTAACATTTTGACTTGAATTCTACAAAATTGTTGTCTTATATATTTATCTATACCCCATTTTACCGCTTACAGCAATTGGAGATTCAGAGCTTTACACAATATTAACTTAACATGAGCTAAGTAGCGATATATATAATATGAACTTGATTCATTATACATTAATTATAAAGCAAGTTTAATATTAATCACTTTTGTTGGCCCGGATGTTAGTGTGCAGGGGTCTTAATGTGGGAGGAAACCGGAGTACCCGAACAAACTTCCACATGGTCTGGCAGGTTATATTACCCCATACTTTTTCTTGTTCAACCTGCCCTGGTGAAAGGCGAGTGTGTCTTCTCCCAGCCTTCACAGGTATCCTGTTTTAGCTGAGAGAGATCAGCTTGTCACTCCCTAGGGGAGATATAGCCTGGGGCAGAATAGCATGCGCAAAATTGTGACGTCATAAATTAATTAAAAGTGAATGGCAAACGTGATCGTCATTAAAAGGTGAATGGTGAACATTATGCTCTTGTTTACAAACCTAACCCTCAGCAGAGCCTCAGGTAGGACAACCGAAATAAATCACCCTGGGATTGGGCTTTTCTTTGACACACCCTCAAGGAAGGGAACTTGTTGTTTCATAATTGTTTCAGTGTATATCCCACTAAACTACATGCAGTTCAATCAAGTCTTCATTCACCTTGATTTGAGTAAATAAAGTCTATTCTACTTATCCCATCATTTTGCATTTGCCCTATCCAGCTCTTGAAGACTGGTTGTCCCAGAAATTGAGCAAGGTGTTTTTCGACACCTCTGCATCTATTTACTGTATTTTTAGGTTCATAGATTGACAGGGCTTTAAGTTTTGGTCCTTATTCCATTTATAACCGGGCCTAGGACGACCACTTTCAGTAGGTCTAGAGATGAATTAAGTATCAAGGTATGCTGTCACTGACCCTGGTGACGCGCTCACCGACATTGTTGACTACAAATGTCTGAATTAGTGTTGTGCTTTTTATGCAAGAGTTTTAGTATAATTTATGTGTGTGAATACGTATTGATGCTTTTGTAGCTTATCCAAACACAAGTACGTTATCTTCGAATCGATATGCTAAAATTAGAAAACACTATATTACGACAGCAAGACTTGACAGGTGTTCCGCTTCGCCGCACATGACGACACCCTGCTTCCTCACCTTGACTGTCAGTGTTTACAAAATGATGTTCCAAAAGAACACTGCAAAACACGTGAACAATAAACAAACGCATGCCGCTTATCAATGCGTCATCAAAATAAAAACACCAGCATGAAATAAACTAAATACGGAGTATGTTTTTGGAAATATACCTTGCAGTTGTGTACGTAGAGATTCCTGTTCCCGACGGTACCTATCTGCAATTCGTTCTGTCGATTTCAGTTTACCGCTTGTATTGTTAAAAATATAAATAAAGTAGACACCACACAAGAGTGTTGCAGAGACCACAACACCCTTGAGGAGGTTGCCATTCCGTCGACTCATGTTATTCATCTGTGCACAGCACAGATCTCACTGTCGCTTGTCAAGACTGCCTGCCAACACGACACGTTTTCATCATCACCATCAAAACAATATGGCGACGTGTCATCGCAAGGCATTCTGGGAGAAGTACCTGTATCGACTTCCTCAGGTACGACAAGAAAGCTCAGCTTTAGGCGACTACAGCGTCGGATAGTGTTGCCACGTCAACTCGATGCTGTTGACTGTTTTGATGTAAATAAGACATGCTAACAACGGACTAAACATGTTGTTCCTATTATATACGCGAGTAAATGTGCTACTTATCGATACTCAGACTTGCGAGCATTGTTAGCTTGTTTCTAGCTATAATAGTTTTTAATTAAGAAAAAATATATAAAAGCATGCTAAAATGTAATATACAACTGGTGAACAGGCGATGATATGATACACAAAAAGTAGCAAAAATCATGCTTACTTATTAAACGATATATCTATAACTCCTCCACTTTTTTGTCTGAAAAAAAATCATGGCTAATTTGACAAACTTTGAAGCGCAATATATCTACCAAAGAGTATGGGAAATAAATAAAAGATATAAACTTCCAATAAAAGCTTATATAGAATCAGCCAGCGAGGTAGTTTAGGAGCTATTTTGTAAGTTCACTTTTATGCTGTCATTTTGAAAGTGTTAGTTATATCAACACTCTAGATAGAGTATTCTTCATTAAAGGAAGAAGAACAAGAAGAAGAAGAAGAAGAAGAACAAGAACAAGAAGAACAAGAACAAGAACAAGAGAAGAAGAAGAAGAAGAAGAAGAAGAAATATGTCAGTTATCATACGAGAAGGGCATATGGGGACTACTTTTCGAGCGCGTAGTGATGTGGTGTCAATGGTACATATGTATAGGACATCTTCTTAATCCTCAATCCTAATCCTTGATACACATATCTTCTCTTCACCCATAGAATATGTGTCATGACGAAATTGAAGTCTCTTAACGGGCAACTTTGCAGTAGACTTAATGAATCGCGCGACAGCATACTGGCAAATTTGACCACGTTTTCCTTTTTCAGTTTTTATACAAAAAACCAATCAAGTAGCTAAGCGCGTGACTTTGATTTTATCATACAAAATCCCAATGATACAGTGAATGTATACATGTATTGGAAGCGAAACCATTGGATTTCTAAGATAATGTTAGGAGAACAAACTTCTCTCCCGTCACCAAAAGACGTTGAAATGGGAGACGCTTACACCAACAACAACATCAATTTAATGGAAAGATTCTAACACCAACATAAATTCCGAAATCAAATCGATGGGTGCTTACTCCTACAGACATTGATTCGGACGACGTTTACACGAACAGAAATTGAATATATGGGACAGAAATTTAATCGGGGGGTGCTTATAACGACGGATATTGAGTAGAAAGATTTAACCGCCTACAGATATTGAATGGGATGATTTTAACGCCAACAGCTATTGAATGGGATTATTCTAACACCAACAGACATTGAATGGGATGATTCTAACGCCAACAGATATTGAAAGGGATGATTTTAACGCCAACAGCTATTGAATGGGATTATTCTAACACCAACAGATATTGAATCGGTGGGTGCTTACTCCTACAGACATTTTAATGAAGAAGTTTACACTAACACAGCAACTGAATCTGGGGATGCTAACACCGACAGACATTGAATCCGAGGGATTTAATTTGGGATATCTGTATGACAGTCTTTTCACTTTTATGCAGAGCATTACACAAGCGAAGGGCACAGGACTTAAGTAACTACGATAGGCTAAGCCCTTCTTTGATCAACACAACACTCCAATAGCTAGCACTATGGTTTTGGGTCATTGTTTGTGTACTTACCAACAGGCTGGACCAAAATTCCTAATTGATATAATTCGCATGCTCGGATTTCGTGTTTCTTACTCAGAAGTTCAGCGATTTGAGTGCATTGCAGCTTACTAGTTAACACATTCGACATCCAAATGTACCGATGTCGATACACTTACCTTCTGTAGCCCCTTGGAATAAATCATGACAAAATCGTAGGCACGTAGATAGCTTTTTAATTGGTTTCATGTATCAAAACGGACTAATTACCAGGTTGATACTGTGGTATCCATCCATTAACATTATTTGTCAAGGGATATAACTCGTGTTGCCTTAAACACACATGCTGTTAATTGGACGAAGGTGTTTTTTTCTATATAACAACAAAAACAAGATGCCATTCTTTAGAAGATCAGATTCCAGTGGAGCGACATCTAACTTCAAAGTCATTATGCTGGCACGCGGTTCTTTTGATGTACATCAGAGGATCAAAATAGTCTACTGGTATTATCCGCGAGATGGCGCGTACAGAGCCTTTCATTTTGTGATGACATATTGCACGGATGTAAAGTATGAATGTCTGTCGTTAGTGAAAATCGATATCATGTCTTACCTAACAAGTTTTGTCACCGTTTGGAATTATTGCTTTCTTCCGATTCGAAATCCTGGCATTTCCGTCGTGAATGAAAGTCGCTTTGTAAGATTTAAGTAATTACCTGTCTGTATGTTATGACTTTTCTCATTAGCCAAGGAAAGTTTGTCATGACATATTCTCAGGTAAAGAATGTGTCATTGCATTTTTCTTAAGGTGAAGAAATGTGACCGGAACCATTGGATTAGGAAGATGACTGCCGAGGGAAATGATATTCCGGCGTTCATCGTGGAATCTTCGTACAATATACTGCCGTTAATGAGGACTATATTATGAATGCTCCGATGTTTTGTAAAGCATTTAAACGAATGCCCTTATATACAGACAGGTTTCCATCTGCAGCCCGCCTAATGCGTTAAATGGGCGGATTGGTCGAGTGTTTAACACTTCGGCCTTCCACGAAGACGGCCGGGGTTCGATCCTCGAAGTCGTCGTACGCATGGAATATCAGACAACTCCAACAACCCAGGTGGAGTATGAAATGGTCTGGGGTGGATGTTGCGGTATCTGTGCTGTATCATTCAAATGAGGTGGCACTATAAAAAAGATGCCGTTGGAAGCACGGTCACACTACAAAACAGAACACAATACATCTCCAGCACACACGCAGGCATACACACATAGTGAGATATTAGCGAGGTGGCATATGACTAGTAGTTAGCGCCTGATAAGGCAGCTCCTGCGAATTCCTCAAAATTGAATTAATTAATGTATTACAGTATATGCTAATTGTATTAATTGTATATCTATGTACTGTAAAGCGCTTTAGAGTGGCTTATGTTAGCTAGATAGGGCGCTATATCAAATGTTGAATATGATGTTTTATTATTTACTACAATATCGTTACAATCGACGCCAAAAGTACTTTTCATTGCAATGGAATCTTCAAGCAAGTTAAAAACTTGAGTTATGATGGCCGGGGAGATGTTGAAATTGTGGGAAATATATCAAGACTTGATATATATTGTCTTTACGTTGTTTGCTCCGATGTCCGATGTCGGGATGGTTTGGGACCATGCTGATGCGTTAGCAAAGTTCATCTCCTAGAGAACTAATTATTAACCTCCATGTCTATAATTCATCATCTTCGAAATTCCAGGGGCTACGCTCTCTACGTTCTCTACACCCCTGGAATATGTCATAGCAAAATTAGAGCCACGCGGCTAGATATTTGATTGATCTCAGGGAAAATATCTTGACCAATCGCTTGTCTGGTACATGTCCTTTGCAGATTACAGACTAGCGATACCCGACTTCAAAGCAAGTCAATTTAACCGTTGCGCTACCGCAAGATTGTTTTGATGTACAAAAAAATCTAACTTTCGTCTTGTCTCATCCACAAGGTAGCGCTTACAGAGCCTTCGATTTTGTCATGACATATTCTAAAAGTGTAGAGAACATGAATGAAATGAGACCATAACCCTTGGATTTCGAAGGTGACTGTCTTGGTATCTAATATCTCGGGTCTTTAACGTGACAACTTCGGCCTATAATGTTGATCATAACACCTGTGCGATCGCCGGAAAAGGTACTTTTCTTTGTATTGGGATCACCAAACCAAACAAAACAATGTGCTATGATGACTAGGGGGATGTTAAAGTTGTAGATATCATGACAAGATTTTATATATATCAAGGTTAATTAGCATTGGCTGCCCTGATGTCCGACGCCAGGATGGTGTGGGACCATGTAGCTGAGTCAGTAGAGTCTATATCCAGGAACCTTCCTGCCTATGATTGATATGTGGGCGAGTAACTGACGTGCATTTACACTACCACGTGATTTGTGTGCGAGTATGCAAGAAGATTTCATCAACCAATTTCTCGTGACCGAAAGCACATTGTGACCTAATACAGGTATTTGACTTTGGTGATTTCACATTATAATGACATGCCCTTGTTGATTTAGATGTGTATTATTTGATTCTTACCAACTTGCGGAATTCTGGTATTGCCATCTTCGATACTCCGGGAGTTAGGCTCACTTTCAATCTCTACACCTTTGGAATATGTCATGAAGGAACGCGGCGAGCTATTTGATTGATTTCTGGTAAAAAAAGACCTGACCAATTGCTAGGCTGATATCTCATTTATCTTTCATTTGAAGATTACAAAGGAGCGACACTCAACTAGTCCCCAACGCACAAGTGGACATAATGAGGTAAACACAATACATTTTGCGTTGATTCGACTAATTAATTAGGTACGTGATGTTAAAAGGATCTATAAACAGTATACATCAAATTTTGATTCATAAACACATGTGGTTTATATGCATGGTTTTAAAGCACCAGGGTTCGGGAAGTTTTTATAGGGTTTTCACGATAACATTAGGATAGTCTTGGATTTAATCGCGAAGTTCACATAACACACACCAGGCTTAGGAAAATCCCGCTTTGGCAGTGTCTGTTCCTATGGTGTACGCAGACCATCGACATCACCTGGTACATGGAATAAAACGATGATTTTATTTATGATAAGGACAGTTTTAAACAGTGCGAGGAATGTGTTCGTGTTACCGCGTTAAATAATGACCTGATAGTGATTTATTTCATTATGAATGTCGGTAAACTGTTTGTTATGACGCATCGGCTCACTTTTTATTGATCGTTACTGCCCACCCACC